GGTGTTTTTTTTTTTTTTTTGGGGGGGGGGGGGGGGTTAATAAAAAGTGTTTTACACAAAGAGTGTCTAGGAAGCACAGGTATGATGGCAAGCAGTTATTCCATCTTCAGATTGTTTTCTGTGACATGTGACAGTAATACTAACCAAAATGTACTCAATACTTACCAGTACCTCTTGCTAGTACAGCCCTATAAAAAGTATCTCCACGATTAACACACTGGGCCTGAACAAGTGCCTGTGTGTGTGGCGCCTGGCGGAAATCATCCCATGATATTGGCTGCCATGAGGATAAACTGGTACATATCTTGGCTGGGAAATTACTGCGAATGGCATGAGGTACAGACACCAAACCAGCCTCTGGAAAACAAAATATTTTAATCCCTGCATGCATATGAAGTACAAGAATCTCTTGACACAAGAAAGCTGGATTACAAGTACAGCATACCAATATATTGAAATAACATACATGGAAAATCATACAATCCCCACTGAAGTTCAAGAATGCATCATTTTAAGATACATAGACAATGGCAAACATTTATTACCCTGTAAGTTAACAATGTTCCAAAAGAACAATACAAACAAGATATTACCAACATTCACTGTCCCTATAATATTGAACAATTATGGCTTACATTCATAGCTGATATATAAAGAAAATTATAAAATGAGTTATGGTTATACAGTTATAGTATAGCTTACCAAGGGCTTGCACCTGCCTACACAATGCAAGCCGAGCCTTCAGTCTCTGACGAATGGCACGCATTACACTTTCAACACTTGCCTGGCTCACCACTGTCTGCGGCTCCATGGTAACATAACTTTCCTGCAAATTACATATTTCCGTAGCACTATTCATTAATTTTTCAACATATTAAAATCAAAGCAAGTTTCCTCAAGTCTTTGTTCGAAAGAAAATGCCATTTCTTCCTTACCTTATTTAACAATACTCCAAAGTAGTTTAAAACATTTTTTGTTGCTTGCAAATATAATATATTACATGTTGCTGAAGAAATTGTTACCTAATTACATGTATGTAATCTCAAAAGCTTACATTTTTATAACTGTTAATTACAAACATCCCTTTCATATCATATTTCATATTCCAAGCTCTAATGTCTCACTAGTTATTGCTGTCACAATGAAATGTAAAAGAACATACTTTGGTTGCCATGTTGCTTTACACTGTATAAAAAAAGTAACCTAAAAAAACTTTGAAGATCTGTAATTCATAATTTAAAAACTCTACATTATGTAGGCCTAAGAACAACTCCACCCCAAAGTCTGTACACTGAACATGTCATATTTAGATTAAATAAATAAAAAAAGACAATGAAGTGGTTTCCAACATTCATACAATCACACCATTTTTGATGTAAATACGTCTACAATGGAAGGGTCATTCGGCAAAGAAGTGAAAGGAAATCGTGTAACAAAAATGTGGAACGAAAATGTGTAAGATTCATATCAACAAATCGACAACAATGGTTACCTATGGAATGTCGTGTTTACTCAGCATTGTTGTTACCTAGGATCCATATCAACATCGTAGACTAGATAATTTTGACATTACATTCAGCTACCTTCCTTTCATTGTATTTATTGCTTAAATATAATTTAAATACAGAGACGTATTTACGTCCGATTCTCCGGAACCGTGGTTCCACTGACAATTTTTTTAAATCTACTGAGTCAACAATTAAAGGGCAATACACACACCATGATGATCTTATCAGCTGAAGTTTCTTTCCTTGCAGAAGGACAGCAGGCTATAAAAATTATACAGAATCCAGAAATCACTAAAATCCAGACATCTGTAAACATTACATTAATGTTAAACACAGGAAAAATTTAATCTGAGATGGTTAAATTTAGATTCAACTTTACCTTGCTGCTTTCTTGTACACTTCCCATTATTTCAGTTGCCCTGGCACCCATGAAGTCAAGACCAGCAACACGCTGGGCCCATATAAATGGTATTCCCAATTCTGGGATGTAGCTAGCAAAATCTTCCAGTCCAACAGACTGAAGCTGATAATGATTTGCCACGTTCGGACTGTCTAAGCCAAGATCATGTGGGAATAGTGCTGCTAGTATGTTATGAGGTGCAATTAAATCCCTGTAACACACATATATCACTTACAAAAGATGTTGGCTACATACGTTTCTCTTTAATAAACCAGTCATACCAGCCATAACAGAGATAAAATGTTTAGAAATACAGACTCATTATCGGAATTCAAATTTTTTCAAAATTTGAATTCCATTTTAATTTAAGAAGGAAACACTTCTGATGGATACAACAATTTTCTAGAAGACAGACTAGCCATGGAAGTCACAAATTCTCAAAATTACATATCTAAGACCGGTAATTTGTTCAAAATACATTTTCTGAATGGCTTGTATTTCGTGACACAAAACTATAGATATATCCACAAAGAGAGTGAGAACAAAAAATTATAAAAATACAAAGAAACAGACAAAACTCCACTATGCATTAGTAGCATAATACAAAGTGCAATTTGATGGGCATTACTGTAAAAACTTACCCAGCTGAAATTCCATGAACAGCCTGCGCTAGAGTAACCCGAATCTTTACAGTTACAACATGAAGATGAACCAGGTAGTTGAAACTCAGCAACAAGCTATTTCCATCTGTAACATCATATCCTTCAACGCTACTTACACTGTTCACAGGCTTATATGCAGTACAGATTACTTTTCTATGGAGTGTTAAGAAACAAGCAAAATACTATAAGAAAAGTTGATACAGATGTATGTTAGAAATAAAATGACTTGGGATACCAAGGACAAGGCAGATACACCAAGTGACAGAAGATATACCAAGGAATGCAGGGAAAGACCAGCATCATAAACAAGATGCTAAGTACAGAACTGAGGTTATCATAAAAAGAGCTACCTTGTTGGAGACGTTAACAGATTACAGACATGCTTAAAATGTATGTTGTATTGGTGTCTGTACACATAACAGTCACTGCTGGGTACCAAGTTCTGGTCACCCAGCCAGTAATTTTTTGACAGGCATCCTGGTAATTTTTCAGTTTAAAATTTAATTACTTGCCATTACACATTTTTAAATTATACTCTCCTTTACAAGAGGTGCTCATTCTTAGTTTTAGCAAACCCCCCCCCCCCCAACTGTTATCTGTAGACATGGAATATTCTAACATAACATGAAAGCTTTATTATGAAAAAGTCAGGATTTAACAGATTTTATTATTTCAAACCTTGAAGTTTGATGGTGATGTCCACTGTCAGTGGATGCCGTAAGAGAAGTCTCTTCTTGCGTTCTTCAAGACGGTCAGTACGTGAAAGCTTGCGATGATGTCGCTTCTGTCGGTCTCCACAGTCCTAACATGGAAATGTACACTTCATCACAATGCATGTTGTTTTGTTTCGTTTTATATATATATATATATATATATATATATATAACTATAATAAATATAATAAATTTAACAAAACCACAGAATATGTTTTTACAA